CATTATGGTTGCTATGGTAAAGGCTATGGTGGAACGTGACTGGGAAGTGTCACTCGACCTGTAGCCTCTGAAAGGCTCTGACCCTGGCCTCTAGAAGGGATTCTTCCTTGAGCCCTTACACTGTTTCCCCGGATACAAGGTGACTGGAGGCTGGTGCCACGGTGCCTCTGCTAGGGAACGGAGTAGCAAGACCAGAAGTAGCCCGTGAAGAGTCTTAAGGAGCCAGTCACTCATGAAGAGTCCCCTAGGCCCGCTGGAGCTATCGGGAGCCCCCATCAGCCTTCAGAGGAACAGAAGGCTGGAGTATTTATTCCCCGACTCCAACCCATGTCTGGCGGAGGGTGGCTCCAGGGGAAGTTTCTTCTAGACACTAAAGCATAGTGTCTAGCCACCCTCATCCTGTCCTGGGGTGGGTGTGCGTATTAAAGGAATATGGACAGTAGCTGCTGCTTAGTCCCAAGCCTCTGTGTGTACAAGTGAAATGGAGGACAACCCCTTTCACAGATGAGGAAAACTGAGGCTCAGTGAAACGTGAAGGTGATCTTCTAAATTCACTAACCCAGAGAAGTCGACTTTGCCCTGGACTCCAGAGATTCTCCAGCATTAAAACATCATCTAGTCCTGTGGAAATCCAAATATCTTTATGCAACAGAGGCCAAAGGAAGCCACTGGCCACCTCAGTTTTATTTTCAAATCTAAGAGACAGTAAGCAGATATTCTTGTGACCCATAGAAAAGAAGGGAGAAGGAAGGCAGTGAGGAGACCAGAGTCCAGCCACCATTAGCATGTTCAGTGTCCAGTTGACCAGGCTGTAGTGGACAGTCACTAAAAGACAGAAATGGCCTCCACTGGGCTCCCAGGGCTCCTGAGGATTGGTTGGACCCTTTCCTTGCTGACTTAGAAGCCTTCCCCATCTTCTCCTGGGCTTCAGGAGCCCTGTGGCTCTGCAGTCCTCCCCAGGGGCTCAACAGGAGCATCCTACACCTGAGACACTGCTGCTGCTGGAGCTGACTCTCACCCTGCTGCCCTCTGGACCTGTTCCCCAAGCTGCTGTCTCTGTCGCTTTGCGGCTCAGCAATCCTCACCTTATCTGAAATCAGGGCTTCCTGTTCAGCCCTTCTCCCTGGCTCCACTCATGAGCAGCTGCTTACAGGACAAAGTAGACTCCTCTCAGCGGCACTGGCTGCAAAGTCCTCATTCTCTCCCTGCCCTTTGCAGTCTGGGCTCCTGATGCCCAGGCTGAGACTCTATGCTTCTCTCCCGCTTTTCTCAGGGCAGCAGGTACAGAGCCGCAGCTTACAAGGCTCCTCCATATCATTCCTAATCTAGGCCCTGAGAACATTCAGGCTGTGGGAAGTCAGGGAAGTGCTTACCTTTTTTTAAAAAAAAAAAATGTTTTTTTTTTTTAAGACTTTATTTACTATGTATACAATACAGTGTTCTGCCTCCGTGTATGCCTGCATGCCAGAAGAGGGCACCAGATCTCATTTTAGAAGGTTGTGAGCCACCATGTGGTTGCTGGGAATTGAACTCAGGACCTCTGGAAGAACAGTCAGTGTCCTTAACCTCTGAGCCATCTCTCCAGAAGCACTTACCTTTCTGGGAAGAGACTTCCCCGTGTGGACTGGACTCTGGCCAAGGCCCAGCCCTCCTGCTCCCCTTCTGCAAAGTACATTGCCTCTTAGATTCAGACCTGGCTGCTCAAAGGACCCTTGGGAAATACTGGACCCCCGTGTATTCTGTGGGTCAGCTCAGAGTGGCAGGTTAACTTAGGTCAGCCTTGTCCTGAGCTAGGTGAAGGGATCCCTGCCATGGCTAAATGGCTATCCAGCAGGGCAGATAGACACATACCCACTCCCAGAGCCCAGGACTGCCCCTGAAGAAGCCCACAGGGTCCCACCTGCCTCTCCAAGTCTGGAATCTGTGTGCCCAAACAGGTAGATCCATCATGGACAATCTCACATACACACATCCCACCCACACCTTCCCACTGTCCACACACACACTTGGTGAGGTCAGGCCCTCTGTGCCCTCATTCCCATCCCCTCATCCCCTTGGATGTAGACAGACACATTCCTTCCCATGTACCTCAACACTTTTCACCCCTTCTGACTCAACTCTGTCCTTTCTGAGGGTCTTAGGCACCATCAGGGTGATAGGAAGGGACACAGAACGGCTGGGCTACAGCTACAGTTCATACAGCTACTATGAAGAGAGACAGGCTCCAAGATACCCAAGCCCAGGTCAGCACAGCCTCAGTGAGAACTGTCGGAGCAGGAAGGAGACAACTACCAAGCCAGCACCTCACTGCCCCATGACCTGAGCTGGCATCCAGCTAAAAGAGCTCTCTGGCCAACAGAGATCATATGGGTTATTGTGTAGGCTTCCTGCCTTATTCTCTAAACCTTACGCTCAGACACCACGCTCCCTTCCCTTCCCTCCCCTGCTTGGCAAATAGGTGAGCTTCTTTCACCAGCCCCCAGGTGGCCTAAGGGGGCTTCCTCCTCTGTACCCACACATGCAGCTGGATGGGCAACTCTGGCGTTTCTCTGTGGGGCATTGGTGTCTTTTTTGGGTGTTAGAGAGAGGTGCTGAGCACCGTAGAAGTACCAGCATGTTCCAGTCTCCTGAAAATTTTGCAAGGGGCCTATGGGCCTACAGGGCTCAGTGCTGGTGAAGCCTCAAGATGTTGTGCTAATCAAAGGTGAATCCATACTTTCCCAAGTGCTCTCTTGATAAGGTAGTCCAGTCTCTGCTCCCCGTGTCCATGCAGGGAAACTGAGGCCTGGAGAGACTGCACAGAATGAGCTGCATTTTTCCCAGTGCTGCTGCCTCCAGCCCCTCCTGTCCCAGATAGAAACCTGAGACAGCGCAGGACAGCACACACCCTGGCGTGACATAAGAATTACCCTGGAAGCCTGTGCAATGCCTGTGCTGTGGTCCAGTGCCACCGTGAGCTCAGGCCCCAGGCGTCGGATGGTAGAAATGACCATGAGGATATCTTTGAGACCTAAAATTTAGACATGCTATTCCTGAACGCTGGCATCTCCTGCATGGAAGAAATTCTCCATCCCTTGCCAGCCCATGAATCTAAGGTGTGTATGCACCAGAATGTAGATCTGCCCTACAACTCTCAGATCCGCCGAGCTGGAGGCCTGTGCCCTCCGCAGCTTCCTTTGCTCTGAGAGCAGCTGGGAAGAATGGGACACCTCTACAATAGTTGCTTCTTAGTTTCTCATCGAACTTTCTCAGTGAGTTTGCCTCTTGCAGACTTTTGGAGTTTGTTTCGTTCCATAGCCCAGGCTGGCCTCAAATTCACTAGGTAGCCAAGGCTGACCTTGAACTTCTGACCTTCCTGCCTCCAGTTCCCAAGTGCTAGGATTACAGTCTTTTGTCCCTATGCCTGGTTTATGTGGTACTGGGGATGGAACCAGGGTTTTGTACGTGCTAGGCAAGCCTCTACCAACCAAGCCACACCCATAGGCCCCTTGCAAAATTTTCAGGAGACTGGAACATGCTGGTACTTCTACGGTGCTCAGTAAGTGTAAGTGCCATCAGTCCCTGATCCTGTGCTCAAGAGTTCGGTTCTTTGTCGTTATTGATTCTGGAAAAAAACATTCAAGTCAAGATCTGAGCAGTAAAGAGCTGGGGTGTAACTCAGTGGGAGAGCAAGCCTAGACTGTACTAGGAACTTGAGTTGGTTCCAGCACTGCAAGAAAGCAAGATCTGAGACTCAAACCAAGGCCGATAGATTTTGAAATATGCTCCATGAACCTTGCAACTGATCACAGGGGCCACATCCTACTTTTCTTACTTACATAAAATACATATTCATTGTGGAAAGGAATAGAAAAGAGCTTTTATTAGAGAAAGAGAGATGCACTTACCCCCTTCCTGAACCCATCAGAGTTCCACATTTCCCAATCCAGAGCTTTCCACTGTACTCTTACCCCAGGCTCTGCTTCCCCAAAGCCAGCCAGATGTTTTCTTCAGGGGCGACTCCTCTTGGGGACACAGCAGTGGGCTCCCAGTCTTCTACTATGCCACTGGGTGTTTCCAGGTTAAGGATCTTAAAAAGAGTCCCCTCCCATCTCCTGCCACTATAGCAACTCTTGCAGCCAATCTGAGTCCGTTCTGGGTCAGCGGAGATGTCTGAGGTCGGGGACTTTCCCCTAAAGCCCAGCACAGGGGAGGAAGAGGGACCCTGGAGCTGAGAGGAAGGGTGGTACCCAGGATGCTGCCAGATGCTTTGCTCCCTGCGTCCTGCAGTGCTGGCCCTTATGAGAATGTGAAAAACCCTGCATACCATGTGTCTGTTCCTTGAGTGGGGTAGCACCACCATGAGGCACAGGGGGGCCAAAAAAGAAAAGGGGTAAAGTGAACCCATCTCGACCACCTCTTGACACAAATGCCAGGGCAGAGGAGCGTACCCTGAAATTCTGAGCTCAATTCACCAGGAGCAAGCCGGTGCTTTTCCTGTCTGTTTTGACTTGCTGTGTGACCTCAGGCAGATTCTGCTTTCTCTAGATTTTCCTTCCAGAAGGGAATTTATTGGAATGACTTACATACAGGCTGTGGTCTGAACAGTCCAACAATTGCTGTCTTCTGACAGAAAGGCTAAGGGTCTGGTAGCTGTTCAGTCCTTGAGTCTAATTGTCAACAGCCCCAGTCCAGCCCCAGGAAATTCTAGAAAGCTGCTGGTCTTCAGTCTACACTGGGATCCTGAATATGTGGATTCTAATGTCAGCGAGGGAATGCCTCAGGGACAAGACAGATGAACTTGCCAGTGAGAATGAGAGCAAGTAGGCCAAAGGCAGCAGCTTTCTTCCTTGTCCTTGTATGGGGCTGCCCCTAAAGGTGTGGTCCAGATTCTCACCTCAAGTGATCCAATCAAGAAAATCCCTCGCATGCTTCCTGGGCTTTAATTGGTTCCAGACACGATCAGGTTGATGATCAAAATTAGCTGTCCCTAGGTCTGACAGCTCTATCTGCCTCTTCAGATGGAAGTGCTGTATTCAGGGGCTGCTTCCGCCGACCGAACAACCTCTCCCTGGCCTTGCCTGTGACAGTCGCCATGCCAAACATGTCTGTAGACAGGTGTGTGGACCTCTGCACAGAGAAGGTAAGCTAGGGCTGTTTGCGGCATTCGGGATGCAAGGACAGGGTGTCAGGAAGTCCAAGGAGCAGGATGTGAGCTGGATCAGTCACAGTCACTTGCAGCAGATGAGGTCACAGGTCGTGGCTGTGATGAGACGGGAATACATTAGTTCATGGATTCAAGGCGGTAGAGTCACACAGAGTAGCAGGAGTTGCCTACTTGCATCTAGTGGTGAGGGAGTGTGAGATTGAGGATGCCTGAGGAGGCACAATAAACACTCCTAGGTAGGTAGTGACATCAGTAGTGGCCCAGTGGCACCCAGGTGCATGCTGCCTTTCTCTCTGTGTCTAAGGAGTTCCTGTAAACTATCTGAGAAAGCGAGCACTGTGGGAGCAGAGCTCACGGGATGTGCTGTGTGCTTTTCTCTCCTGAGTCTTCCTGGACCTGTGACCAGGGGGAAATCTGGTCTGCATCTGGTTTGGGAGCCAACCGGACAGAATTAGCCTGGGGTCAAAAGAGACAACCCAAGGCTTCTTTGGGTGTGCACACCTATATCCTTTTGGTTTAAAAGCACACAGATTTGGGCCAACAAGTGTAGGCAGAGCTGTTCGTTTGTTCCCAGCCGTCCAGACCTGAATAATCACACAGAAATTATATTAATTACAATACTGTCTGGCTAATAGTTTAAGCTTATTTCTAGCTAGCTCTTACATTTTAGTATAACCCACTTCTATTATTTTATATTTTACCATGGGGCTCATGTTTTACTGGCAAGGTTCCAGTGGGCTCTGGCAGGCGTCTTTCTCCTTAGGCAGCTACATGGCTTCTCCCTGCCACTCTATCTACTCTTTCTCTATATCTATGTCTGTTTGGATTTTCCACCTGGCTGAAAGCAGCTTCTTTATTAACCAATGACAATAAAACATATTCCTAGCGTACAGAGGGGAATCCCACATCAAACGTGATGTCTCAGTGGGTAAAGACTTGCCACCAAGATTGAAGACCTGGGTTTGAGTCCCAGGACCCACACTGCAGAAGGAGAGACCTGGTTTCTGCATGCTGCCCTCTGCCCTCCGCATGCACACTATGGCATGCACATGGACACATGATCAATGGATGATTTACAACATTTCCCAAGATGTGAACTGTGTGACAGTCACACAAAAGACAGGGGCAAGATCAACAGAGGCATGTGCCCTTGACTCTCTCCCAGGCTCCCAGGGAAAGTGTCTGTGTAGTGCTGACTCTCTCTACCACAGCTCCCAGTGAATCCCTTTTGCCAGAAAAGATGGCATTGACCCCAGGCTCACTCACAGCAGAACCCAGGCAGCATTTACCAACACTAGCCATTTAGTGTCCTGGGGTTGAGTTCCAGCACGCCTTGCCTTGCCTGCGTCTTACTGAACTGTCAAGGTTCTGCAGAGGCCCTGCACATCTTCAGCTCTAGGTGACTTCTAAGCCCTAATTTGGTACTAATGCTGTGTAAGGAGTTGCTATGGTGATCGCTGAGGGAAAGGAAAGGTCCAGGTGTTCAGTGACGAGATAGTACTTTTCTGGAATGTTTTTTTAAACCTCACCATGGAGTCAACAGATGGGAAGAGCTGGTATAGTCTATGGGTCTCCCTTTGCTGCGTGGGAATGTGTGGGAACCCGCTTCTCCACTGATCTTCCTGGTTACGGATACCAGGTTTATCCTGAAGTCTTATTTCAAATAAGGAATGAGATAAACAGTTAATCAACACAAGTGCTGGAATGGAGGCAGTCTGCCAGGGAGGGTAGCTGCTGATGTCTGGGGAGGAGGATGGTTGGGCCGTACAAGGACCAGGTGACTCACCTTCTCTTCTCATGCCCAGGAGTACCCCCTGGCAGCTCTCGCTGGCACCGCTTGCCACTGCGGGTTTCCTACGACGCGATTCCCTCTTCATGACCGGGAGGATGAGCAGCTGTGTGCACAGAAGTGCAGTGCTGAAGAGTTTGAGAGCTGTGGGAACCCCAGCTACTTCATTGTGTACCAGACACAGGTCCAAGGTAAGCCAGCCTGCCTCGACAGACCCTCCTTCCCAGAGGTGTCCTGGCCGGTCTGTTTCCTAAAGCCTGCAGCGTGGGAAGAAGAGAACAGAGGACTGGATTGGTGACGTTGCCTAGGCTTAGGGCTCCTGGGTAGAAGACAAAGGAAGTGTCTGAGAGGAAGTTCTGATGACCCTATGTCTGCCCCTCATCACTGCCTCTAGCAATGAGAGTGAGTGAGTGGAAAGAGAGCCCTGGGTCTCCTCTCCTCCAATACAGACGCAGCAGTGATCTTGAACAGCTCACACCAACTGTCTCGGCCTCAGTTTCTTCATTTGGAAAATGAAGCTGTAGATGGTTGGCCTCCAAGGTCCTTTTCAGTTCTGGGATTCTATCATTGTGTCTATACCTTCTTCCTTCTCTCTCTTTCGTCCTCTCCCCGACTCGATCATCCTTTCCCTCACTTCCCTTCTTTGCCAGTAGAGCCCTCACTGACTTGTGTGGGGTGCCTAGAATGGTAAGATGAAAGTGATGGTGGTGATGATGGTCACGATGGGGTGTTGATGAAGATTGTGATGACAGTATTGTTGTGGTATTGATGGTGATAGTGATGATGACGGTGATGGCAATGATGGCCACGATGGGATGTTGATGAAGATTGTGATGATGATTGTAATGACAGTCTTCTTGAGGTGTTGATGATAGTGATGATGACGGTGATGACGACGGTCATGATGCGGTGTTGATGATGATATAATGATAATGGTGATTGCAGTTACGATTTGGTGTTGATGAAGGTCGTGATAATGGTGTTGATGATGGTCATGATTTGTTGTTGATGATGGTGACGATGATGGTGATGATAATGGCGATGACGGTCATAATGTGGTGTTGATGATAATGGTGATGATGATGCACTTGGGCTTGTTAGTTTTTGTCAACTTGGCATAAACCTATATACATCTGGGAAATGGGAATCTCAACTGAGAAATTGTCCCCATCAGATTGCATATAGGGAAGTCTGAGGGGCGTTCTCTTTGTTAATAACTGAGGTGAGAGGCTCTAGCCCACTGTGGGTGGTACCACACCCTAGGCAGATGATCGTGGATTGTATAGAAAAGCAAACTGAGCGAGCCATGGAAAGCTAATCAGTAAACAACTTTTCTCCACAGTTCCTGCCTCTTCTCCTGCTGAGTGCCTACCTTCACTTCTCTCAGTGAATGGCTGTAACTGGGACATGTGAGCCAAACAGACCCTTTCCGTTGGTCGGTTTCATGTCACAGCAACAGAGAAGCAAGCTGGGATAATGATGATAATGATGGTGGTGGTGATGGTAGTGACGGTGATGATGGTGGTGATATTGGTAAAGAAGGCGATGGTGCTGATCATGATGTGGTTTGATTATGGTGATGACAATACGATAGTGATGAGGGTGATGATTAAATTGGTGATGAGATGGCATAATGAGTTTCTTGGGCCTTACTCCACTCCAGGCTCAGTGCTAAGGCCTTCATATATACTTCCCTCCCCACAGCTGTCCTGTGAGGTGGGATCAATGGTCATTCCTCCTTCCCTGGGAAAGTGAGCATCAGACTAGCTGAGGGACTTGCTGCAGACAGATTATAAACCTTTATTCCTGGCTGGGGCATCTCAGAGAGAAGTGGGTGTGGGGTTGGGTACTCACGCTGGAACAAAACCTAAGGGAACCCCTGGATATATACCAGCATGGATACGCTGGCCATCCACTGTGCACCAGCCTCAGGCTAAGCCTCAGCCCACCCTGTGATGTAAAGGCCATAATTAGCCAATGAGCAGAGCTGTCCCCATTTTACAGATAGTAGAGGGTTAGGGAATTGGCCATAATCCTACATATGAGAGCAATGTGCCTTCAGAGATGACTCCAAAGACCATGCTAGAATCCTCAACTCACAATGGAAAGAACATCCCCAAGCCATCTGGAGTCTGGAGAGCAAATGGTACATCTCCAGGCAGATTACCTCCTAGCAACAATGCATAGACAGACAGGCTCCTGGACACTGCATAAGTGTGTCCACAGCAAAAGTGCATGCAAGACAGTCTGTGCTCTCGCATGCCAGCACCCTAGAGGGAAGTGGCAGATTCCTGTTTGTGTTTTGCATCATAACAATCCTGTACAAGTGTCTGGTGGTCCCTAGCAGGCAATCCCACTGCTCGTTTACAGTCCAGTGAAGGTGAAGGGGTGTGCTGGTTTCTGGGATGCATCTGGCATCTGGGTAGAGCTGCATGGCCCTGGCCTGGAGGACAGAGTCTTACACAGACTATCTGCACTGTGACTGTGAGTGACTTTGCTGAGGCCCTGCTGGATGCTGATGGCTCTTCTCCAGCAGATAGCATCTCTGCTCTTATCCCAGCAAACCACCCCAGACTGCCCAAGGCTCTCGAGCAGATCCTCCACCCTGAGGAGAGGTGTGCACCAGAGATTTAGTAAACTGCCCAGATTTTGGTCCACCGTGGTTCTCCTGTACGATAAGTCCTGTGGTCCTGGTGGGAACTAACAGCACCTGTGTGCTCAGCTCCGTGAACCCTCTTCACCACCTTAGCCCGTGAACCCTCCAGTACCCCCATGGCATGCTTGCTGTGGTGACCACCTTACAAATGGGTGACTGAATGCAGAGAGGTCGAGCAGTGTGGCCAGAGCCACACAGCTGGAGCAGGGCAGAGATGGGGTTCAAAGCCCGGTGATCAGGATCTCAGACTTCACCCCTAACCGCGGCTTCTCACAGGCATGCTGACACTCCTCTCTGAGTGGTCAGAAGTGAGGAGAGTGTGCTCCAGGGAGGTGAAACCCAAGTGTAAAGGCTGGACAATTGGGTCTGCCCTTCCCAGGGTCAAGAAAACACAGCCTGCAGCTCCTGCCTTGGTTTATGGGGCTTCAGAACCAATGAAACAAAATAAATTTTAACACTGAAAAAACAGCCCTAACCGCAGAGCCAGCCCATGACCTCCCAGGAAGGTTTGTGTGGAGAATTCTGTTTAGTGGGAAATTAGGGATAGGTTCTGTGTCCTGCCCCCACAGCTAAGCTTTTGTTATGAAAAGAAGTAAATTATTGCCTAGGGCACAGCCAGAGGCTCCCGTTTGCCCCCTAGTACTATTTTACTGAGTTACACTTCTCTCCGCCCCTTGTCCCCTGTCACTCTGAAGGAAGTGTGGTCCCCAATGGGAAACATTAATTACAATGCAACAATTGATTGGGATTTCTTTTAAGTCCCATTTCCATAGAAGGAGAGGCACCTTTTAAGTGTGGTGGCCCATGATCACTTGATGACCCTTGACCCTCTAAGCACAAAAGAGACCAGAGAACCTTCTGGCTAGGTAAGGACTGCAGTGGGTGGGCTGGGTCCCCGTGGGCAGGGCTCTCAGCCCCATCAAGTTGAAGGTCAAGTTGCACCTCGGCAGCTGATTCACTGTGAGACACTTTCTAGCTGGGGGAACGGCTGAGAATGGAGAGGAGGCTTATCCTCCTGTTGGACACAGCACATAGAGTGCCCCTCCTCTTCCGTGTATAACCATGTCTCCGGGGCATACTGTGCTGACCCGTCTGTCTGTCCTCCGGCAGACAATCGGTGCATGAACAGAAGATTCCTCCCAGCCAAGTCTAAGAAGCTCATCGCACTTGCCAGCTTCCCGGGCGCCGGCAACACGTGGGCCCGCCATCTCATTGAGCTGGCCACTGGCTTCTACACCGGCAGTTACTACTTCGATGGCTCTCTGTACAACAAAGGTGAGAGGGGTGGAAGGTGAGGGGGACACCCTGCACCACTCAGCATGCAGGGGCTTGTCCATCAAGGCCCGCTGTGTGCTCTGGCGGTCCTCCCTTTTATATCTGACGCACACATGCAGTGTGTCCTGAGCCTGCTGACTAGTTGGCATCTATTAAGTACTGTTAGTTAATTATTAATTACTAAGTACTGTTAGTTACTGTGCTGGTTAACTCTCCTCCACTTAGGTTGCCACGACCATTTCTTAAGCACCTGCTGCAGAGCTTACCACAGATACTGAGTAACCAACAGCTCTGTGCTATCAGTAGAAGTATAATAACTGTGTTTACATCAGGGCACTTATTAAGTGCCAACTATTTGCCAGGCTCCTCACCCACAGTATTTGCTGGATACCATGCTTTGCTTTGATGTTGTTCACTGTGTTTTACTGGGCACCATTATGTTAGAAATGGGTTTCCCTTTGTGTGGTTTTCCAGATGCATTTAGGGAGCACCAACTGTGGGCAGGAGTCTCAGGGGAGTTCAGCCACCCCCGGATACCCTGTGACCTGACTCCAGACGTGAAAGCGGAGGCTGACAAAGTGGGAAATAACTGGCCCCAGAGTCACCATTTTTTTCAAATGTGCCCAGCTGTTTCCTGATTTCATTCTCGTGTCCTTGTCACTCTCGGGCTTCTCACTGGGGGACTAGAAATCATGGGTGGCACTGGACATGAAATGCCCTCCTCTATATGGTTTTATGTCTATGTGTGCACAGCCCTCGGTTGCGGCTTTGTGTCTGTTTTAGTGGAGGAACACTTCCTGGCTGTGTGCCCTTGGGCACACTGCTGCAGCTCTCTGGTCCTGTGATCATGCGCCTACTACAGCTAACAGTTTGTGCCTCGTGATCGTGAGATAAAAGTGAACACGTTGTTGCATGTAACAAGCCCGGCACACGGGAAATAAGCTCTGCTCTTATGGCGTGGGTGCCAGGCACGGCTAAGGAAAGCTAGGCAGCAGCATCTCCCAGGATGAGAAGCAGAGAGTGAAGAGGTGAGGAGGGTGGGGTGGAAGGTTGGAGCCAGTGGGGGTGCTGGAGGGCTCAGTTGACTGATAAACACTGTCCAAAGCCAATGTAGAGAGGACTGAGTTTATTTCATCTCCCAACCCCAGGTCATATGGTCTGCCAGTGCAGGAAGTCAGGACAGGAGCTCAGGCAGGGCAGGATCCTGGAGACAGGAGCTGTTGCAGAGGCCATGGAGGGTGTTCTTTACTGGCTTGTTCCTCATGGCTTGCTCAGCCTGTTTTCTTATAGAACCCACAGTGGGCTGGGCCTTCTCACATAAAGTATTAATCAAGACAATGCCCCACAGTCCAATCTGATGGAGGGAATTCCTGAGCTGGGGTTCCCTCTCCATGAATGTCTCGAAGTTGTGTTGTTGACAAACACAAAAGAGCACACAGGGCCTGGACCTTTGGATCCCAGTTCTCTGTATTTGATTTGGGTTTCTGTCCTCAGCTACTTAGCACCTACTATGTGTGAGTGAGTGACTGTCAGGATTTGAACTCAGACCCTCAGCAGAACCTGTGCTGTGTTGTCTTCATGTACTGGTGGCTGGGGACAGATCAGACCGTCTCAGGTAGGCTCCACCCTCAGAGGAGGGTGTCTGTAGGATCATTGAGGTCAGAGACCTAACGTGGTTTCATCTCCTGTGTCAAGTTAAGTGAACCCCACTTTGCTAAGGCATGTTAAAATGGATTCTGAAGTTCTGTTTTCCCTCAGAGGTTTGAAGGAGGGAAGGGAAGCAGCTGCCTAGACACCCGGTACTGTTCCTCCACCAACTCCCTCCTGGCGTCAGAGAGCAAAGGGGCCATCAGTCTGAAAGTTCACAACACTTTCTAAACAGGGCCTGGGCTCAGAGCCTCACACTCCTGAGCCTTGGGCTCTTCATCTGGAACGTGGGGAGTTGGCATCAGAGATTTTCTGGTCATGTTCTTACATGACCAGGTAGTGCCAGGAGGGGACCTTAGGGACACTGTGATACAAGGCACACACAATCTGTAATATTGGTAGTGTAAAGTGTGAGAGAGAAACAAGAGAAAACATTGTGTATATGTATATATGTGTGTATGTATGTGTATGTGTGTGTATGTATGTGTGTGTGTGCATATGTGTTTGTGTGTGTGTGTGTGTGTACAGGGTTTTTTTTCCTGCAGCTCTGAGCCCATGTCTTAGAACAATTTCCTGGTGGCTCCTTAGAGCCCAAGGGTCACATGCTCCCCAAATAAGTAGATCCCTGTGTTGACTCTGGAAAGTGATATTTAAATATGCCACATTTGTGTAATAGTGGTGCCAGGTCCTGTAGAAAAGAGGGGTGTAGAAGTGGGGCTTCTGGTAGTGGAATTCAGCAATTCCCTGTGACTCTGTCAATTGAGCAACATTCCTCAGGAACGCCTAGCCTAGCCCATCGTCTCCCTGAAGCTTCTTTCTAGAATGCATTCCACCCAACCCCACCCCGACCACAGGCCAGCTCCCCAAGGGACTCTAAGTATTTCTAGACAATCCTGGCTCATCTTGCTTGTGCTTTGTTTGTTTGTATTTATTTTTAGTCTCCACAAATATCAAGCTCAATTGATGTCATCATGGCATCAAAGAGACAGCATCTCAGGTCTCCCAAGACAGGGAGGTGACTTTCTATACTGTCCCTGTTAATGACATCATGATTCCTTGTATAGGGAATTAGGAAGTTTCCCTTATATTTTGTTGGGTTTGGTTCTGGAGATGGGGTCCACACTATAACCAGGATGGCTTCATGGCATCTTGTGGCAATGCTAGTCCATCAGCTTCAGCTCCTGGGCATGGGGATTGCCATTACATCTGGAATGCCATGTTTCTGAGGACATTTTCTCCTCTGAGAGCGTGTGCGTTCTTGTATGCCACCTGCATCTGCCCATTGCTGGGCCTGTAATAAAATGGATTTCAGTGAAGACAGAATGAAGCCACAGGTGGGACACCACAGAATGAAATACAGGTGGGCTGTACAGCATCCCACCAACGGGACGTGTGCCATGGCATTTAGCCGGGGTGTGTGTGGTGAACTTCCTGTTCTCTCTCCCAAGCCTCAACCTCTGTGTCCTCAGGATACTGTGCCACAGAGAACCCCCAAAACTGTTTATCTTGTCACAGGTATGAGCCATTCCAAATTTGCAAGGCTGGTCTAATCCCAGGACTCGGCCCAAGCAGCCCAAGGGTACAGCATGACTCGGGAAAGGGCAGCCCATTCCCGTCTCTTCTGCCCAGAGGCCCTAGGAGGGCGGCCACGACTCTCTGGACCCCTAGAACAGGATCAGGTGACATGCCAGACCTTACCTCCATCCACTTTAAAAGCTGTATGTAAGCTTTTAGACATAGGCTGAGCAGGAAGACGCCGTACCCCACAGCCTGCTAGGTCCTGGGACCTCTTAGCCCAGGACTTTCTGTGACTTCTGTTAGTTTCTGTGACAGAAATCCTAACAAAAACAGTATAAAGGAGGATCTGTTTTGGCTCGTTCAGTCCATAATTACAGGGAAGGGGGATAGGGAGCAGCTCAGTCCTCAGGACAGAGTCCTCGTGCTGTGTGCCTCACCAGTTTCTCACAAAGGCTGTGTAAAGAAGGTGCAGATGGAGAAACTGAGGCCCAGAGACTGTGACGTAGTGTCGGGGTCACTCGCTGTCTTAGAAATAGCATGAAGGCCACACTTGACTTTGTCCCCAATGCCTCAGCTCAGAGTGTGGGAGTCCTGAGGGGTAAGGACACATAGGTTTGGGAGCCTCGGTTTGGTGCCTCTGAATGCATCAGGACTCCCACAGCCCTCTCTAGCTCCCTGTTCTCCGCCACCACCTTACAATGTTCCCTCTCAGTCACCCCAGGTCTTTGATATCTGTGGTCCCTATCCTTTCTTGTCTTGGGCTAGCCGGTTCCTCTTCAACCTTCGGTTCTCAAATTAAGCATCTCTACCCAGAAGGCTGGGGCCATGTCTGTACCTCAGAAGGTGAAGGTGTAGCCCAGGTCCAAAACAGAACCACCCAGCTTAATCCCTCCCAGGCCTGCTCCTGTCCTGCTGCATTGACTGACAGTGGCTGTGACTTTCAGTTCCTGCAGCCTGGGTTAACAGACGCCGCTCTCAGAAGCCTTAAGGCTCTGCTCAGCTTCTGTCATGATGTTCAGTACTGTGGGTGCTCAGAATGCACAGGAAGGAATCCCTGAGTCAAGAGAGTGAGGAATGCTGAGACAGGGTGTGGAAGGAGTGGTATGTGCTTCCTGCCTCCCCTCTCACCAGCTTCTGACTTCTTGCCTGGGGTTGGGGACAGGGTTCAAAGGTGAGCGAGACCACTGGCGCAGTGGGCGGACCATCTGCATCAAGACCCATGAGAGTGGCCAGAAGGAGATTGAAGCCTTTGATGCAGCTATTCTGCTCATCCGAAACCCCTACAAGGCCCTCATGGCTGAGTTCAACCGCAAGTATGGAGGCCACATAGGATTTGCTGCCCATGCCCACTGGAAAGGCAAAGGTACTGGAGGGAGGGCCTGGGGTGGTGTGGGGTACAGGGTGGCCAGCATGGGGTGACAATCCAGGCCTGGGGCGGTGTGGGGTACAGGGTGGCCAGCATGGGGTGACAATCCAGGCCTGGGGCGGTGTGGGGTACAGGGTGGCCAGCATGGGGTAACAATCCAGGCCTGGGGTGGTGTGGGGTACAGGGTGGCCAGCATGGGGTGACAATCCAGGCCTGGGGCAGTGTGGGGTGCAGGGTGGCCAGCATGGGGTGACAAGCCAGGCCTGGGGTGGTATGGGGTGCAGGGTGGCCAGCATGAAGTGACAGGCCTGGGGTGGTATGGGGTGCAAGGTGGCCAGCATGGAGTGACAAGCCAGGCCTGGGGCGGTATGGGGTGCAGGGTGCTCTGCAGGAAACTCTTCAGAGTTTAGCTTGTGCAGAGTTTAGCTTGTGCAGAGCAGCACTGGTTGCTAAGGCTCCATGGGGCCATACCCAAAGTACCAGCTATGTAGCCCAGGAGCTAAGGATTCAGACTTTGCAGAGGAACTCCTTTGTAAGGGGACTCCCAGCCCTTACACTTTCTTGAATAGCTCTAATTTTCTGGACTTAGGGAGATGAGAAAATAGTGGGGTGCAAGGATCTAGAAGGTAACCTTTCTCTACTCACCAGCTATGGTTCTCATCATGGTGGTAGAGACACTGCTGGTGAAATCTAGATGGCACTGATGGCCACAAGTTTGTGGGTCCTTCCCTGGGTACCACATGGCCTGTGTCCAGCCCCTCCCTCCATGGCGGTTAGACCCTACAGCTGTGTGAAGCCACCCAGCAGCTCCAACCCACAAGGTTCAAAGGGCTTGGAGGCTTGTTAGTGTCACCCCACTGGGTGGAGAGCAAGGCCCAAGGTAAAGCAGATTTGACAGTTCTTCCCCAGCTGTGTGAGAGGCTTGTGGTGCCAGCAAACATGCCGAGGCTGGAACATGGACCCAGCATCTGCCCTGAGGACCCTGAGAAAAGTGAGGCCCAGAGAGGTGACCACTAAGTGAGGCCCAGAGAGGTAGAGACCACTAAGGTCACTGGGATGCCCAGTGACCAAGCTGCCCAGCTCTCCTCTTCCTGGATTTCCTGTGATCTGAGAGAAGAGGGGAGTTGGGGAGTGTGGCCCCCAACTCATCACTCAGCCACCCCTATGGTTCCTGTAGCAGGGTAAACAGAGATTGGTTAGCACCCTGGGTGCTGCTGAGCTGGGATTCCAACCCAGGCATTGATTAACACACACACACACACACACACACACACACACACACGCACGCACACACACACGCACATGCCAGCCTCCACGTCCAGAGACATTTACTCCCCCAGCAGCCGCCTCATCTGCTCTGTTTCCTTCTTTGGACACCTGGGCCCTTTAGGTCAGTGCTGAGTCAGGGCTGAACCAACAGAGGGTACGTGGGGGATTGGTCCAGACTCACCTCCTACTGGCGACAGACTAGCCCCATCAACTCCTCAGGTCAAGAGCCCTCAAGCTCCACCTACCCAGCCCTCTTCTTTGACACCCTATGTTCCAGGACAACTGGGGGACTCATTAGCAAGGCCAGTTACCAGACTCCACCCCAGAGCTGCCCACCCAGAAATGCTGCATTTTTACCAGCCTCTGGGGACCTTCCTGATACACACACCAACTTAAGTGCCACTGCCTTAAACCCTTCCTGTTCAGGGGTGGCTGGGACCAATGGCACCAGTGCACCTTGGATACTTCAGAGTCTGTGTCCAAGCAGATTTCTCAAGGGCTCCAGTGTTCTCACAAGCTTTAAGAACTGCTTTGGGACACCCTTGATGTAAGGTGGGAGGGTTATCTGGGAGGGAAGGCCCCTCAGCCGCTGCTGTGTGCATCCAATCACCATAGCACTGCCCCCTCCTAATTAGATGGAGATAAGCCTCCCCACCCCCAAACTTTGGTTCCATAACGTTAATTTTACAGCCCCTCTGGAGAAGGACCAAGGCAAAATTTTCTGTGATATGATTACACAAGGTGAATTGTCCTGGATCTGTGTAATGAAACAGATCCTGTGTTTAACGATTCCGTGGGGAACTGGCACCGAGCAGCCATTCATCAGGGCTTGCTCTCTCCTGACAACAGAAGATGAAGCAGGAGACCTCTGCGCAGTGTGCAGCCAGGCACATCTGTGTGGTCTTGGCTCCCCGGGGTGCCTTTGTTTCCGGATTTGTGGGTGCTAATCAGTTACCAGGAGCCCTGAGCTAGGGAGGGCTTTTGTTTCCATTTCTATTCTTCTTTGCAGAGGAGTCATTTGAGGGCTTTGAGAGGTGAAGGGTTGGAAGAGCTCAGAACAGCTTAGGGTGCTGCTAAGCCTTGGGAGGGAAAGTCGGACCAGCAGGATGGGGCACTTGGGGGTTGTCTCAGGAAAAGCTAAGTGCAAGGATGGTCATAGGTAGTATTTACTCTTCTGCACCTAGTACCTTGTCGGGACCTTTGCAAAGCTTATTAGCCTGAGAGGTTAAGGATGCCGCTCAAGGAGAGAGCAAGCAGCATTTCCAAGGTCACCCAGTGTGGATGGAGAAGAGCAGGGTTCCCAGCCCAGCCACCTGGCTGGAAAGTCATCCGTGGACAGCTATGTCTTAGCCAGCAGCCGAGGTGAAAGATGGACACAGCCGATAGACAGAGAGGCAGCTTCCTCGGGATAGTGCAGGTGGTGTGATTGGAAGACACATAGGCAAATGGCTTCAAGATGGTCACACGGAGACACACCTGAAGTCTAGACCTGTGGGCGCTAGATGACAAAGGCCAGCCTCACCTGGGTTTCTCCTGCAGTAGCTGTCCTGAGTCACTAAGGATGCTGGGAGGTGACTCCAGAGTGGGAAAGAGGCTAAGGGAAGGAGCCCCCATGCGTACTTAAAGTTTCCCAATCATCCAGATACATCTGGTCCTAGCCCATTATAACAGTACGGGCCCAATTAGTCAGCTGCCTTGTGAATAATCTATTTTAGGAATAAAAAATAACCTGTCACCAGCATAAATATTTCCCAAGTAGCCGTGGGGTTCCAGGAGGGGACCGGAAGAGAGGCATCTCAGGACAGCTTCCGTCAAGAAAAGCAGCCTTTTATCACGGAGCAATTTAGCAGTTGGAATTTCAATTTAGTTCAGCAGCGGTTACCCCCAGCTCCTGCTGGGTACCAGGCTGTGGGAGGAAGCCAGGATTAGGCTGCTGATGTCTGGAGAGGATCTGGGCCAGAGTGAGGCGGGCTGGATTGGATGGTATTTCCCTGCTGCGTGACCTTGACCAAGTCACTTCACTTGTCTGAGTCTTAGCCTCCTTCCTGGTGACAGATGCATTATAGTCTTTTCCTTTCAGAGCATCTAGGAGGATTTTAAGGTCCCCCACCTAGCTTGAGAGACTCACTGGTCTGTCATGTGCTGCCCTATCAACCATTGAGCCTTCAGTGCCTCCTTGGTGTTTTCCAGCTGAGTTGGGGCTGATGCTGATCCCAGCATCCCAGTGCCCTTCTTGGGCAGTCTCCTGACTTCCCTCCCACCTGAGCCTCAGCAGCTCTTCTCATTTGCTTGCTCTACAACTACCCAAGGAGTGGTCCATGTAGCCTGCCTGGAGTGCTCCGTGTAACCTGCCTGCAGTGCTCCGTGTAACCTGCCTCTCAAGACAGGCAACCTCATAGGCGCCCTCCCATGACTTTCTATGCCATGGCAAGATGGCTGATGAGCTCCACAAAGAGACAGTTCGTGACAGCTTAAATAAAGAGTTGAGAGACCACACAATCAAGATTAACAATCCTGTTTAAACCATCCCCACGGGCTCAATGGGCGGTGGAGACAGATGCGTAAGCAGGGTGACCACACAGTAATGACTCACTGTGTGGTCAGGAGGAAGAATTGGGCCTGCAGAGCCCAAAGGAGGCCTGAGCCCTGGGAGCCAGCAGGATGACTTCTTTTTTTTAATATTTATTTTATTTATTTATTATGTATACAATATTCTGTCTGTGTGTATGCCTGCAGGCCGGAAGAGGGCACCAGGCCTCTTTACAGATGGTTGTGAGCCACCATGTGGTTGCCAGGAATTGAACTCAGGACCTTTGGAAGAGCAGGCAATGCTCTTAACCACTGAGCCATCTCTCCAGCCCCGCAGGATGACTTCTTAAGCCACAGCAAGGAGGAGAGTAGACATGCTTATTGCACAGCTGCAGGGCTTGGTCAGGGTGCTGACAGTCTGTCCCCACCCCACCCCCACCTCCTCAGCCATCCCCCACTGCCCTGGGCTCTGGCCACACTCTGTACACAGCCTGCCACTCCCTGTGCACAGCCCGCCACTCCCTGTGCACAGCCACCACTCCCTGTACACAGCCCGCCACTCCCTGTACACAGTCACCACTCCCTGTGCACAGCCCGCCACTCCCTGTACACAGCCCGCCACTCCCTGTGCACAGCCCACCACTCCCTGTGCACAGCCACCACTCCCTGTACACAGCCACCACTCCCTGTGCACAGCCCACCACTCCCTGTGCACAGCCCACCACTCCCTGTGCACAGCCCGCCACTCCCTGTACACAGCCCGCCACTCCCTGTGCACAGCCCGCCACTCCCTGTGCACAGCCCACCACTCCCTGTGCACAGCCCGCCACTCCCTGTGCACAGCCCACCACTCCCTGTGCACAGCCCGCCACTCCCTGTGCACAGCCCACCACTCCCTGTGCACAGCCCACCACTCCCTGTGCACAGCCCCCACTCCCTGTGCACAGCCCCCACTCCCTGTGCACAGCCACCACTCCCAGTGCACAGCCCCCACTCCCTGTGCACAGCCCACCACTCCCTGTGTACAGCCCCCACTCCCTGTATACAGCCACCACTCCCTGTGAGCAGGCTGTCATTGTTTAATGGTAGCAAAAGACCCACATTCTGCAGCCACGTCTCCCAAGTCCTGCTCTGCGGCTCATTGAGTGACCTTGGCTCATCCACTCTCTGCCTAGGTTTCCTCTTCTGTTAAATGATGA